CATTCACACCTATGGACAATTTAGAGTCTTCACTGAACCTAATATGCGTGTTTTTAGATTGTGGAGGATGCTAGTGCAACTTAACAAAACCTGGGACTCACAAGGAGAGCCAGACACAAGATTCGAACCCCAAACATGTTGCCACCATCCTGCCTATTGTAAAATATAGAATAGATGAAATATAAAATGGATTTGGCTTTTTAGCACGCCCATGCTGACATTATCTCACAATATACATCAATAATCATGCTCAAAGATATCTATTATAAATGAACCTCTAGCCGTCACTTTCTGTAGGTGTACAAAGCAGGATTACAGAGGATGATATTCAATAATTCACTAATCAACAAAAACTAGGCTGTGTTCAAATACTTCATGTCCTGTTCTTCTTCTTTCAAATTTACACCGTCTCAAGCTAGATAAGTGTGCCACCATCTAGAGTTCAACAATGGAATTACATGCAATATAAATAATACTAACTGTGCAAAAATATCTATAAAATCAGCAAACCACCGACCTGGAACCTGCAATGGAAGGGAGATTTACTGGACATCGTCGTAATAAAGAAAAACAGCGCCATCTGGTGGATGAGTGCCCTTTTCCTGCCTCTAATGTAGAATACTGTAAATCACTTTTTCTTCCAGAACGCTATAAATGATTCTCTGATGTGTGTGTGTGTGTGTGTGTGTGTGTGTGTGTGTGTGTGTGTGTGTACGCTCAGACCCGAGGCTTTCTGTATGTGGGGTGAGGCCCAGAAAAACAAGCATTCGCATTCACATTCACACCTATGGACAATTTAGAGTCTTCACTGAACCTAATATGCGTGTTTTTAGATTGTGGAGGATGCTAGTGCAACTTAACAAAACCTGGGACTCACAAGGAGAGCCAGACACAAGATTCGAACCCCAAACATGTTGCCACCATCCTGCCTATTGTAAAATATAGAATAGATGAAATATAAAATGGATTTGGCTTTTTAGCACGCCCATGCTGACATTATCTCACAATATACATCAATAATCATGCTCAAAGATATCTATTATAAATGAACCTCTAGCCGTCACTTTCTGTAGGTGTACAAAGCAGGATTACAGAGGATGATATTCAATAATTCACTAATCAACAAAAACTAGGCTGTGTTCAAATACTTCATGTCCTGTTCTTCTTCTTTCAAATTTACACCGTCTCAAGCTAGATAAGTGTGCCACCATCTAGAGTTCAACAATGGAATTACATGCAATATAAATAATACTAACTGTGCAAAAATATCTATAAAATCAGCAAACCACCGACCTGGAACCTGCAATGGAAGGGAGATTTACTGGACATCGTCGTAATAAAGAAAAACAGCGCCATCTGGTGGATGAGTGCCCTTTTCCTGCCTCTAATGTAGAATACTGTAAATCACTTTTTCTTCCAGAACGCTATAAATGATTCTCTGATGTGTGTGTGTGTGTGTGTGTGTGTGTGTGTGTGTGTGTGTGTGTGTAAGCTCAGACCCGAGGCTTTCTGTATATGTGAGGCGACGGTGATGATGTCACTTCTTCATCCATAAGTGGACAAAATGAGCCTCTGGCAGTTTGGGGAGGCGGAGCCCAGGAGAGATGAAATGAAGCTGTGAGGTTGATGATGATTCACCTCACAGCACATACAGAAAGAAAGCACTGCGACAGCACCGAGGTGTGACTGTGTGCGCGCGAGTGTATATTTCATCCCGCTCGCTGCCATCCACTTGGTGCAGTGCTTTTAATGTGAAGTGGACTTTGTCTGTGAACTTCCTCTTTTGTTTGTTGGAAAACTAATAAATCACAGGGTTACAGCAGCGGAGGCTCTCAGGGCCCCGGGCCAGGTTTTCCTCCTCTGGGAGCAGCCGGCGAGTGCCACAAACCACCGTTGGATGTTGCTGCATGCAATAAAGTGGATGAGGCAGTGGAAGGACATGAGAAAGAAGGGCAGCCCCGGCTGGCCTATTTACTGACTGAGGAAAAAGAGCGATTGAATGTGTTGTGAGTGTCAGCACGAGCTTGTGGACCACGTAAGACATCAGTGGTGGTTGAGGAAGGTAATGATCAGCCAGGCTGTGTCATTACTGCATGGATGCAGAGAGTGGGGGGTGCCAGTGTGAAATCCGCTGCTGCAGTGGTATGCGGTGGGCTTCAAACTGCAGCACATCCGCTGACCCCCAACCGCCTCTACACTTTCACACTGACACACCCAAAAGACAGCCATTATGGATTATGTTCACTCCATCGACCTGAGAGGGGTTTCCAACATGGCGCCTATCCCATGGAGCTAACTACATACCATGTTTCTGAATATAGTGGCCAGGTGCATTTATTTACGCAGTCACAGACAGTATTTGATGGTTTAGTTGAGGATGGGTTTAATATTTAAAGTCCCTGTGAAGTGAAAATAAATGTCTTCTAAATTTTACGCATCACAGAGAAGAGATTTAAAAAAAAAAAAAGGCAAGTTGCTGATGCTGTGACCATGTCCGGTGAATGCGCTAAAACCATGTTGCTCAACTGTCAACTGTCAGTCAAATATCATCCTTGACCTGCACAAAAATGGGTGCTACTTTGTCTAGCATCATTCTTTATGCCTACATATACTACATGTTTGAGCCGAGTCAGATGTTCTGCGCTCCGGTGAGGAGGCGCCCACTCTTCCACAACAACAGAGTCTAGACCGATTGACCTACTCTTATGCCCACAACATGATCAGTGAATCACGCTATTGATTGAAAAATAACCCAATTGCGGTCGCGTGGCAAGTGGCATTGGCAAAAGGTTGCCATGAACAACAAAGGTAATTTGAGGTTATGGACAAAATGAATTATTGAAGACATAGCACTTTTTGCGCACTGTCAGACTTGCAAGAATAGATCGCACTAAAATTATTCATCATCTCCAGAGCCGTGTGAGTTTTAAAAGAATGAGTAAATGTTTTAAAGCCTGCCGCTAAATGTTTGCATGTTAAACCTCCAATGATGAAATATGAAATCATCAAACAGGGGCTCAGTATCGGTGACCAAATGGTTTGTGTGGTTTCATAAATACAAGTCAACATCATTTAGTAATCACTATCTTCTGATGTTAATTTCAGCTGGCAGATGTTTATCACATTGAGTTCATGGGGAGAGGGGTTGTGAAAATTAAGTGCTGAACAAGCTGAGATCATTTTAAATGACGGAAAATTTAAATTATGAATCAGTGGTGGACCCGGTAGAAACAATATAAAGGCAAAACAATCCACTCCAGTGTTTGTGGTTAACCTTAAGAGAAGCAAACTCAACCATAAAGGAAAAAAAAACTGTCAGCATAAGATAAGATATCCTTTATTTGTCCCACACTGGGGAAATTTACAATATATATGATATAATATATATGATATATAAAATCCATTACCTGGGAATTTGCTAATGAAGATCCACAGATGTGGTTGAATGCTGTGGAAAATGTCATGGGGGTGGTCCGTTTAGACACGTTACGGCTTTGAAAAGGAGCTGTGTGGAGGTTGTGCACCTGCTGACATTGAAAAGCTTCGGAGGTGGATATTATACAGTATATAAGTGTAGGATCACAACTTTAGCCTTGTAAACGCTCGACTAAATCAAACTGCTAATCATATGACATAAAGTGAATACTACCAATCGAGTTAACATGTGATGGCCATCGATACAAAATGGAGACAGACTGTGATTTAATGTTGTGATGTCGGCGCCACTGAGCACAAAAAAAAAAAACTGTTGTTGTAGTCAAAAGGCCAAGGATGAGAAATCCAAGTCTGTCCCTCAGCGCCGACCAATTGGCGTTGAAAACGGCATCGATGGGCTAACGAAGAGCATTTGTGTGGCGGTGTTGTAACTTAAGGAACAGATATTTGAACACAAATGGTACAGCAACACATATAGACACATAAAATAAAAATATTCACAGGCATATATTCTTATAAATGCAATAGTTGTTTTTATGCATGACTGTATTATGCTACCACCCAGTGGCCAGGTTGCACATAAAGATGTGGAGTGAACTATCTATGATGTAAAAACTGTTCAATTCTTTACATTTTATTTAATTATGTTATTACTATATGTTTTAATAGAGTGCAGTGTGTTGCTATTTAGTACTGTTGTCTATTTAAAAACACATTACAAAATCTTTTGATATTATTTTTAGGGGATCTGGAAGGCATTTATAGCATTTCCATTCATTATACGAGCGAAAGATTATTTGAGTTCCGAGTGTGGTCACAGACTGAAATAAACTCTTTTCTCAAAACAATACTGCAATATTGATTGATGAACCTACTATACCAAATAAGCTTTCTGAAGAATAAGTTTTATTAATGAACCTTTGTGGTCAGTTCGCCAGTCACATACAAAATGGGGGTGTGGTGGGGGTGTCTCAGCTGCACAAGCAATCCACCTAATTTTGAGAGGGGGCATCCACAGCAATCCAAACCCCCACCTATCCATCGACAAAAAAAATTATATGGTTACCTAAATATCTTTTGCTGGGCAATACACTTGACTCATCTCGGCCTCCCCGCCAACATTTTTTTGGAAGGGGGTGGGGGGGGGCATCATCATCATCATGCACTCGCCAGTGAGGATTGCTATTATTAATTCTATGCCTCATGGTGTTTTACGTCAAGCAGGTTCTGATGGGTATCTGTTCTTCTGGCCACTATGGAGAGGAAGTAGAAGAAAGTGACAGGATGATCATTCGCTCAAAAAAGTTAGCTTACACCTCAACAATAGTTCCACCCCCACCTCCCGTTATTTCTGAAATGACGGCTACGCCCCTGACTACTACTACTACTGAGCATCTCCAAAATGAGTACCTCCTCCCTCGCCATCCTCCCCCGCCCCCTTCCTGCCTCGCACACTCGCGCGCGCGCGCACACACACACACACACACACACACACACACACACACACACACACACACACACACACACACACACACGGACACTTGGACGCTGCAGCGTTTTTTAAGAGTGTGTTGACGAGGGAGGAGGCAGGAGGAAGCCGATCACGTCCGGAGCGTGTTAGGAGGAGAGAGAGGACGCGCGCACGTTGACTCGTTAGAAAAAGGGGGGGAAAGAATAAGCTGGCGATCGGTTGGAAGGGCGGTGCGTTTCGGTGCGAGTGTCATTGCAGACATGGGTCGCCGCGGCACGACACCTTGCCTTGAGCTCCTTGGGGGGTGTTTTCGCTGTCAGTCCTTCGGCTCTGCAAATGGCGATGTGCTGCTGATGCTACCGCTGCCGAGCCCGGGAGACGCAGCCAAGGCGGCGGATGCCAGGGAATAATAAGACTCATATATGATCACCTGCGCTTTCCTTTGCCTGGGATTTTCCGTAGCGGTGGACGGTACCATGGTGAATTACCAGAAATACATTACTGTGATGCAGCTGGCTCTGGGGGTGACCGCCTCCAACAAAGAACATTGTCTTCCACCCAGGAAGCGAATGTGGTGAGTAAGAATCCGGGGAGGGTGAGGATGCAGGTGGAGGTTTGGGGGAAGAGGGATGGGGGGTGTATACAAATCAAAGCTGCTTTTTAAGGGGTTCTAAACCCAATAGTGATTTTTGTCACTGCAGCCAATCTGTAACCATCTCACTACAATGCATGCTGGGAGTTAGTGCGTATATGTGTATGTGTGTGTGTGTGTGTGTGTGTGTGTGTGTGTGTGTGTGTGTGTGTGTGTTCTTCCTCCTAAAGTTGAGTAGACAGTGCAGTGTTTCCCAACCTTTATTGAGCCAAAGCAAATATTTTCCAAATATTATCTCGTAGGACACCACAATTCAAAAATGCCACAAAAAGCGAATACACAGATTTTTTTATGTACCGTCTGCCATCTAGTGGAAGAGGATTTCATTGTTCTACCTGTCACGACACGTCACTGGCATAGATTGATAAATTTACGTTATTTGTTGTAAATAGGGGTTGAACACTCAACCGTTTTTGTATTCGACTATAATATGATCAAAGTCAAGGTGAAGTTGATTAATTCCAGAAATTGATTTTTAAAAATTTATTAATTTTTTTTTTGTTCGTAACAGGCACCCCATATGCTTTTTTTGCACCACGAGCCAGTTTCACGTAAACACACAATTACATATCGCTGGCGTTGGGCCGACTCCTCTTTTGTCAAAAATTGATTCGCTTTTTTTTTTTTTTTTTTTTTTACAAATCTATATTATTGTTCAGTCCAACATGTGGGTGTTATTTATTTATTTATTTTGGACCAATTTTGCTTGCATCTGACGATGCCGTGTTGATGGTTAAACCAATATGCTGTTTTTGGGGTCTGTTGAAAAGTGATGATATTGGAAGTACGAGAAATCCACCCGACGGTAGCGATATACAATTCACCATCATGTGAATTTTTATTGTCATTAGTCAAAGCCAGCTGGTCTCATCTCATGTTCCATATAGCACAGAGTGTTTTCAGACAGTATATCATTACCAGACTCATTAATTTCTCTGAAAATGACAAAATGGGGTGTATCGATTTCACTTAATATTAGGCCTGCATAATTTACAGAGAAGTGCTAACGGTCATATTTTGGGTGAATTATTTCCACACCCTTGCAGCATAGTACAGCCGTATGCCGTACTGTGACAAGTGTTTCGACAGTGTCCTAAAACGACATGAGTGTCATGATGTTGGTGTGTTGTACCTTTCAATGATGAATGAAGTTCTTGTTTGTGCACATTTTCTTTGCACTTTATTGGATACTGGCGACAAAAATAAAATGTTTTTCATCCCCCTGCTGAGAAATTAAGAATATATTGCCATTTAAACTCACAGTGCAGAGGTTGTGGGTTCAATCCTGGCCCCGGCCTCCCTGTGTGGAGTTTGCATGTTCTCCCCGGGCCTGCGTGGGTTTTCTCCGGGTACTCTGGTTTCCTCCCACATTCCAAAAACATGCATGGCAGGCTGATTGAACACTCTAAATTGTCCCGGGGTGTGAGTGCGAGTGCGGATGGTTGTTCGTCTCTGTGTGTCTTGCGATTGGCTGGCAACCGGTTCAGGGTGTCCCCCGCCGACTGCCCAAAGACGGTTGGGATAGGCTCCAGCACCTCCCGCGGCCCTTGTGAGGATAAAGTGGATCAGAAAATGGATGGATGGATAATCTTTTGAATGTGCAATGTTACCATATAGCAGATTTTTATTTTTTTTTGATATCACACAAACACCTTTTTGCTTTGTCACTGATAACACCAAACTGCGCATTAGACATTTTTTTCTATTAAATATTTTTAACTGCTTAGCGTGTGTTTACCTACAGCATAATGATTTTTGGGGCTTTTTTACGGTTTCATTAAAAAAAAAATAATTAGAAAAAGAAAAAAGGTGAAGTGGCCCTGACTCCTTCCATATTTTTTTGTTTATATTCCTCCATGGAAAAAGTTTGGACATCCCTGAATTAAGTGAAATTGAAAAATTTTCCCATGGCTCACTGATTGGAAATCACTTCACTGGGGTGATGTCATCATCTCAAACTCCATGTGAGTCAATGTGAATGTGAAGTGTGAATGCATCCCTTTCCTTTCCTGTGCTGTGTTCCCCTCATTATGATAAAACAGCATAAAGCATGAAACATGCCACTCTGCTGTTTTTATTCCCACATGTACACCCCCCATTAAACATGTCCTCTGTACTCTCAGCATGTTTGTGTCTTGTCTTGCCACCACTTTGGGTCCTCATTACTCCAAACTGCAGTGGTCACCTCCTCTCACTCTCTCTCCCTGCTACGGCCTTGTGTTTACTTAAAAAGAACACATATTTCCCCTTTTTTTTCCCCCCTCTCGGGACGGAGTACCAAGGCCAGGACGTGTGTGTGTGTGGTCTGCTTAATTACTCTTATCGTCTAGTTCAAAATCAAAGATGCTTAATTAGGTGTTGGCTCCATGGAAGTGAAATAGCAGGTGGCCCTCACCAACAATTGGCTACCGCGATTGTCAGAGGCAAACCGAAGCACAATGCGCGAAACAGAGTAATAATGACTATCGGGCTTGCTGTAGAAAGTTCAAGTCCACACATTGGACATTTCATTTGGCACCCCAATCAAATGAGTTTTACGTGGTAGCACACAAACATGCACTGTTGCTATCACAGGAGACAAGGGTGTTATCAGTGGTAGCTATTCATCTTATTGCCTAATCATATCCATTGCATGATCTCAACTGCTGCCTGGGGATAAGATGAGGGCTTTTTTTCAGACACCTTTCATGTCTCCCTTGTTATTGTTTGTGATGATTCACGTATCTTCCCACCAAGCATCTAATTTTATTTCAGGGAACCCAGGCACAAAGGGCTGAATTTTTCATGCAAGCGCACGGAGGGCTCTGATCTCGTTAGATTGAAGATTTGTTACGGCGAGAGTGACAGAGAGAGGTCGCGCCAACCGATGTCAGGTGTCATGAAAGTTATGGGGTTCTGTAGCGTTCAAAGAATAATGAGCTATTTTAGTACACTAATGATTTTTTAGAGAATCAGGGACTCCTCGTTGCAACTGATCATTATGCTAAATCTCCCTGGTCCTTTATGACATCACTATTTGAGCGAAATGTGTGGTTTCCATCTATTTCCACCTCTTAAGTGTTTTGCATCACACCGTATCTGCTTCATTAATGTCAAGGTCACGTCATTGTTTTCAGTGCGACCTTTCAAAATAATCTGCATGCCACGTTCCCTTGTTCTCAACCACCGCTAATAATGGATTTTGGATGGTGATGTTGATTTTTTTTCAAGAGATCTCTACTAAGCATTGGTAAATACTTCAGTTAATTTGCCTAATTGCTTTGTATTCTGAGATTGCACTCCAGTGTGACGCTGCTTGGAGCGAGGAAAGCCGCACATTCACTGAAAATTGTTAAAGAGTTTAAGAGATTTTGTGAGAGAACTGAATCACAGGAACAAATAAGATCTGCAATGTTTTTTCTAAGGGATATAACACACTTGGAAAAAAAGCACCATTTAATAATATTAATGATAATAATCATAATAGTGGGTTTTAATATTTGATGGCTCAATACCCATTTCTATTATTAGAAATTGATCTTCAAAACAAAGCTTCAAGCTGTTTATTGCCACTCTCAAGTGAAAGTTACTGTTGTCAGTTGCCCCCATGAGAGATGCTCTGCAGCCTCGTCAGGGAAAAAGTATCCACAGTGGAATTCCTACACCCTGCATCTTGGGATATTTGCAGGTAATGTTGTGTCCAAATGAAATTCTGATACGCTAAACTTGACTTTGACTATTTAACACAAAAAATAGGAAGTACAAAAGTATGATGGAGAAGATACAACATACACACTATCACTGCTGTACTGAGTAGTCAATAGTAAGTCCACCTTAAACTGTCCCCAGGTGGCCAAGCAGCATACAAGAGAAATTGTATGACAACTGAAGGAGAAAGTAGGGATGGGCGAGTATCGGGACCAGGTATCGATATTGGGCTGATTCTCTGCCTTATTTCAAGATATCGATACTCGCAACGGCGGCCGATAAGTATTGGCCGCCCTGTTATGGCCGTTTTATAATCGGGAACTGAAGGCATACAGATCTGACAGATGCCTATTAAGATGCATTTTATGTAAATGCATCTTAAGTAGAAAAAGAACGTTGCCATTCATTTCTTGCAATTTTCAGATAAAATATTGTCAGATATCTGTCTTTTTTGTTTTTATCTGTAATTCTTTTGCATAGTGGCATGGTGGTCGACTGGTTAGCATGTCCATCTCACAGTGCAGAGGTGCAGGGTTCAAATCTGGGTCCTTGCCTTCCTGTGTGGAGTTTGCATGTTCTCCTGCGTGGCTTTTCTCCGGATATTCCAGTTTCCTCCCACATTCTATAAAAATGCATAGCAAGTTAATGGAACGCTCTAAATTGTCCCTAGGTGTGTTCGTGAGCACAAATGGTTGTTTGTCAATGTGTGCCCTGCGAATGGCTGGCAACCAGTTCTGGGTGTACCCTGCCTACTGCCCGAAGACGGCTGGGGATAGGCTCCAGCACCCGCCGCGATCCTTATGAGGATCAGCGGATTAGAAAATGGATGGATGGATAGATGTTTTGGGGGAAATTTTCCTTTCTAACTGTATTTAATTATCTCATTACTTTGTTTTTTTTATCAAGTGTAATATAGCTGGGGTCCTCTACATATTCCGTTATTGGTGCCTTAATTGACTCACGCACCTACATTCTATATTCAATGCCAACTTTTATCTCCCACCTTAAAGATGGGATAAAACACACTTGGAGACAAAGTATTTATAAAAACAATGCTTACATGAATGCATTATGTAACATCTGATTGAAACAATGCCCATGGGTCAGAAGAGTCAAAGCCTCCACTTCCTGCAAAGTCAATCTTGTCAAGTCTCTCCACTTGATCTTGTTGACAAGACCGGGCTGCTATTTAAATGGATTGGACATAGTCTGTGCATTAATACCATCGCTTGGAC